TAGTTTTAGAAATCCGCATAAATCTTTTTTGAAAGCAATATCTGCAATACATAATCTGCATTATGTATTACTACATATGTAAATATATATTTTCCCCAAAAACCAAAAAAGAGCCTTTTGCAACCGTGGAAATTATCCTAACAAATGTGCTGCCAAGTCATGTAATTATACAATTGTCCAAACTCATAGAATATACAACATCAAGAGTAAACCCCAACATAAACTACAAACTTTGGGCGATAATGATGTGCCAGTGTAGGTTTATGCTTGTAACAAACATACCTCTCCAGAGGAGAACATTATTCAGAGTAGGAGGCTGTTGGAGAGGGAAGTACAATTACTGATGGTAGGAAGCTGTTGGAGGGGGAAACTTCGGTACCTTCTACTCAATTTTTCTGTGAACCTAAAACTTCTCTAAAAAGTTGTGTATTTAAAAAATTATCTTAACCTTTGCTTAATTTCTAAGCTTTTGAGGGCAGGTTATTATAATAGCTAACATTTAACAAGGAGTCATCTTTAATCCTAGTGAAACAGATGTTACTATCCTTGTTTTATAGCTGAGGACACTGAGGCTAAGAAAATGTAATTAAGGCACACACAGAATTTAAACATGTTTCTTATCACAAGACTGAGTTGTTTTCTAGTTACTCTCTGTATTTTCATTTTTTCCTAATATCTGACTTCAAAATATGTTACGTTATTTTTTATTCCAAACCTTAGAGTTAATTATTTGGGCACCTTAGAGTTAATTATTTGGGCACAACTATCCAGAAACCAGAGACGAGGGGGCGTGGACCCCAGAGACTACAAGCCTAAAATGAAATGAAGCGCCGGAAAGCCTAAAGGGCGGCAGCTCGCCCCTTGGCATGCTGGGAATGTAGTTTCCTCGCTCTCCCTTCTTCCCTGCCCTCGAGCGTCCAGATTGGAGCTTCGTTCCTACTCCTTTGCAGGGCGCCACGGCTCAACGGAGCCACTAGTACTCGCCTGGTCATCCCAGTTCCGGAGGCTGACCTGGGGATGCGCCCTTGACGCCCTGAACCGCAGTCCCGGCCTCGCTGCAAGGCAGGCCGGCGCTACCCACCTCATTCGCAGCGCCAGGACGCCGCACTCCGCGCGCTGCTGCGGGAGTAAGCGCAGCCTGGTCACCGTGGAAACGGAGCCGCCTCCGTCACGGCGCATGCGAGAGGTCAAAGGTCAGCCTAGCGAGTTCCGCTTCCGGTTCCGGGATTTTGTTTGTTGTCAGAAAAGGTTCGTGGTTTCAGTGAGCTCTCAGAGCAGATTTCTAGCGTCCGTGCAGGGGGCCAGGTGTCCCGAGGTCCGCTGCTGCAGACATGGCGGCCTCTACTGCGGCCGGGAAACAGCGGATTCCCAAAGTGGCCAAGGTAGGCGATCGCGAGAGGCCTTGTGGTAGGTGGCCTAGGAGAGGGGCATCCCTTAGCCCTGGGGGTGCCCCGGGCGGGAGAAGGCTCACCATGAGAGATGGAGAGGAAGGATCAGCTGGTGGTGGGGCGTGGGCTCTTGTCATCGCGGAGCGCGACCCGCGTTGGCGTGGCCTTCGTTCTGGGGTGTTTGTGCAGTTCGGAGGAGTGGGCTGATCAGTAAAGACTTACTGAGCCAAGCACTGCACTGTGCGCTGGGAAGCTACGCTCGGACACGAACCACAAAAATACCCAAAACACGAGTTTGTGTATAAAGACGACCTTGCTAGATGTTACTGAGGCAAAGTAGAATATGCCGTGGGCGTGAATAAGCGGGTCGTATGAAGGGGTCCTGAAAGTAAGTTTTGCTGAGGAAATGACCTTTAAGCTGAGACTTGAAGGCAGAATAGGAGTTAGCCCAGCTGACAGCGGAAGGCGACAGTAGACGGAGTTGTGTAGTATCGTAAGTTAATTAAACGGTAGATTCACTATCTGGTGTTTCCCTCGATAGCTGATACTTACCAAGTGCTTAACATGGGGCAGGCTTTGTCTCAAGCCTTCACAGATACCCTCCCTCAAGTCTTTCTTGAGCCCAGACGACTCTCTTGAACTGGACCTTTACATAACCATTTGTCTGACTCGCAGAGGTAATGCGTATAGAGCAAGTAACACTGTGTCTGGCACTTAGTGCTTATTAAATAATGAGCTGTCACCATTATCATTACTTCACACATGGCATTAAATAATATTTTTTATAATTCATTTACATAAACTTTTATTGGACATCAGTGGCCCAATGGAAATATAATGCACGCCACATACGGAATTTTAAATTTTCTCATATCGACATTAAAAAGTAAAAAACAAAAAAAGGTGACATCAGTTTTAATAGTAGGTATTTTATTTGACCTAGTGTATCCAAAATATTATTTCAATATTAATCGGTATAAAAAATGTAATGAGGTAGTTTATTCTTTTTTTCATAGTCCGTCTTCAAAACCAGTGTATTTTACACTTACAGTCCACCTCATTTTGTACTAACCACATGTGACTCACAGCTACTGTGTTGGACAGCACAGCTCTAAGCTACATTAGACTGTAAGCTTCTAAGACCTCAAGAAGCTTACAGTCTAATGATGGGAAGTTATTGAATTTTGCCTTGGACCTGAAGAGCCATGAAAAACCAGACTCAATTATCCACCAGGGGCATTAGCTAAGTTGAAGAATTCTGTAAATGCAGGTTGTAATGCTATTAATAAGATGTGGTACACATCTTGGTAAAACAAAACCCCTGGTCAGAACTTTACCTAGACTGCCTCAAAGTTTATTATTATACTCATCTAAAAGGGAAAACTTGCTATTGTTTTTGCCACCTTTTTCACTTGAGACTTTTACCTATGGCTTTGTAGTAGATACCAGAAATAACAAAGAAAACAAAGTATTTTCTTCTTTTCAGTCTCATGGAGGAATGGGAACATGTCATACAAAGAGGGTATCTTGTGATAATACTATGAAGTTCATATCCTAACAAATGTATGCTTGTTTCTTAAACCTTGTGTGAAGAGCATCTACTAAAAATAGAAATGTTTTCTTTCTTAAAAGGTGAAAAACAAAGCCCCAGCTGAGGTACAGATAACTGCTGAACAGCTCTTAAGAGAGGCTAAAGAAAGAGAACTTGAGCTTCTTCCACCTCCACCTCAACAAAAGATCACAGATGAAGAAGAATTAAATGATTATAAACTGAGGAAAAGGAAGGTCGGTCGGTGTGATATCTTTCAGTCCACTAATCGTTAAGAATGTATCGGTAGGCTGGGCATGGTGTTGCATGCCTGTAGTCCCAGCTACTTGGGAGGTTTAGGCAGGAGAATCACTTGAACCTGGAAGGTGGCGGTTGCAGTGAGCTGAGAACATGCCACTGCACTCCAGCCTGGTGACAGACCAAGACTCCGTCTCCAAAAAAAAAAAAAAAAAGAATTTCTGTAGGGCAAGATGAGGCTAGTGTTTATAGCACATGAATAATGTACTTCTGGTTACCAGATAACAGCATTTTTCTGAACTGTACAAAATATGCCATGAATTGTCTGGTTAAAGTACAAAGAAATTGAATCTGCATAATTTTTGGTGCTGAATCAAACATGGGTGGAAGTTTAGCAGGTGGAACAACTGGAATTGGAAGGGGGTATGCTTAGTAAAACTGCAATGTGTACTTCTGTCTATACCACCTTCTGTGTTAAGAATTGAGATCTGGCCAGGCACCGTGGCTCACACCTGTAACCCCAGGACTTTGGGAGGCCAAGGTCAGCGGATTACCTAAGGTCAGGAGTTGGAGACCAGCCTAGTCAACATGGTAGAACCCCCATCTCTACCAAAATTACAAAAAAATTAGCCGGTTATGGTGGCAGGTGCCTGTAACCCCAGCTACTCAGGAGGCTGTGATAGGAGAATCACTGAAACCTGCGAGGCAGAGGCTGCAGTGAGATTAGATCGCACCACTGCACTCCAGCCTGCGCGACAGAGTGAGACTTCATCACACAAAAACAAGGAATTGGTATCTGCAAAAGGACCATGAGCAAAGACTTGGGATCTGATTTGACCTCCTCACTCTAGAATGTGGGACTGTTTTAAAGCACTAATGCTATTATGTATGAAATTCTGAGAATTACCAGAGGACTTAAAGGTAATACTCAAAAACATTTTTTATTAGGGACAAGTATAGACTATTTTAAAGTATCAATTAGTTGATTATAACCTTCTGTAGTGCATTTCTTATTCCTTAAGGATTCCAGGATGCAATTTCTGTTAAATATGAACAAAACGAATTACCATTTTAGTATAAGACTTTTACTAGACCAAGGGTGGTGTCATTTTTAGTCATTTGCCCTTGGACTTGACCATTTTTGCCTTCTTCCAGACTTTTGAAGATAACATAAGAAAAAACAGGACTGTGATTAGTAACTGGATAAAATACGCACAATGGGAAGAAAGCCTAAAGGAGATTCAAAGGTAAAATTGCTGAGAGTATAGTTTTATATATAAAGATTTGTAGGTTAACAGATACCAAAAAGAAAAGAAAAAGTTAAAGCACAAGTAAAAGATTATGCCTCGGATAGAAATTTTTAACTTTGGTTCCATGGAACCCTAGGGTTCCCTTGAGGGCCTCAGGAGCACTGGGGTAGAAAAGTCCTGGCGGGGAGTGGCAGGAGAGGCTTTAGAGATATATCTTGTCACTCAGCACACACTCTGTAGCTAAAGAAGCAGAATTTCATCTGCTTTCTATATATTGAGATTTTTTAAAAAGTGTTTAGCGGAAAACCAATGGCCAAAAAAGTAAAAATTGCAATCTGGCCCTTCCTGTTGTCTAGCTTTCCTCATTCTCACCTCATACCTCCTGACCCCACTGCGCCTGTGTACGTGCCATTCCCTGGATATATCATGTATCCTTATTGTGAGGCTTGGCTGTTCTTGCCTGGAATGAGCACTCCCTCCCCACCAATCTTAGTTTCCTGGTAAACTGGAACTTTCCTCAAGTTCTCAGTTCTTGAGTTACCTACTACTTAGCCGTTTCTGCCAGACATTTTCATTTCTCCCTCTCTGCTTCCTGTGCAGATCTCGACTATGACATAAATCACATTGCATGATAATTGCGTGCATGTCTTTCTATAGGACTTTGTAAGGTACTTGAGAGCATTGTAGCTTTTCATCTTTTTATGCCCAGAACCTGGCTCATGGTAGACACCTAATAAAACATCAGGGCATTCCAGATAGTTTGAAATAACTGCTACACGTGTTGTATACATTACTTTTGATGCCTTGCAAATCTTACTTCATAAGGGCTCGATCCATATACGAGCGTGCTTTAGATGTAGACTATCGAAATATTACACTCTGGCTGAAATACGCAGAAATGGAAATGAAGAATCGCCAAGTCAACCACGCACGAAATATCTGGGACCGGGCCATAACAACGCTACCTCGAGTCAATCAGTTCTGGTAAGTTTCTGATCTAACAAAGCAGCCTTTGATAGACTGGAAAACTTCCACAGTTTCTGTGTTTATTTACGTGATGATAGTTTAATTTTACATTCTACTCTTTCTTTAACCATAAATGCTTTTTAATGTCCCATAGTCTATTAAGTCCTAATCATAATGTTTAATAGCTTTGTAATCAAAACTAAAATTTTGATTGCAATTGTTCATAAGCTGCTTGTTGAACTAGGCAATTTTTAAGAAAAAATATCTTTTTTTCCAATGGTTCATCCTTTTTCAGATTTATATTTCAATGACAAAACATGTTAGATTTAACCCTTAAGAAAGATAAATCTTAAATCTTCTTCCCATTCAACAATGGAAGAACTAAAAATTACCACAGCAGATATTTTCGGGTGATTTTGTTAAAGGTACAAGTACACATATATGGAGGAAATGTTGGGAAACATCGCCGGTGCCCGGCAGGTGTTTGAGCGCTGGATGGAGTGGCAGCCTGAGGAGCAAGCCTGGCACTCCTACATCAACTTTGAGCTGCGATACAAAGAGGTGGATCGGGCCCGCACCATTTATGAGCGATATATCCTTTGGATGAGATCTGTGTGGTACCATTATTGTCTTCGATGCTGCTGCTCCTGTTGAGCTGGCTCATGGTCAGGACACACAGTCGTTAATGTCAGGCAAGTCAAGAATGCCAGTTTATCAGCTTCCCTATGTTTTGTAGGGAAAGAGATTGGTCAAAATGAAAAATTGTGATCTGGGTAACTGTTGAGTCTTTTCTGGTAAGTGCTTGGGTTTATATTTTCATGCTGAAAACTAATGTTTCCTTGTGGAAAATGATATTCCTGGGGGATTGTTTCTAGGACCTTAAGGGGATACCAAAATCGGTGATGCTGATACCAAAATCGCTGATATAAAATGGTGTAGTATTTGCTTGTAACCTATGCATAGCTTCCCATATAATTTAAATAATCTCTAGAATCCTTAAACCTAATGCAATGTAAATGTGATGTAAATAATTATTATTCTGTATATTTTGAGGAATAGTAACCAAAAAAACTACACATTCTGTACAGAAGCATTTTTTTCCCTTGAAGACTTTGAATCTCAGGTTGGTGGAGTCCACAGACATGGAACCCATGGCTGGAGGACCGACTGCACTAAGGTTCTGGCTGCCATTGCCAGTCCTGTTTTTCTAAGGTTTGTGTCGGTCATTAGTACCATTGCTGCAGTTCATCCAAGACGTAGACAAGTTCAGTGACTCTTTAGCTCTGTGGCTCCAGTGAGTCATTTAACTCCTTTGAGACTTGGTATTCTCTCCTTAAAAACAAGAATAAAAACACCTTTGTTAGGTGGTTGTGAAGATTAAATTATACACATGAAAGCACTTTTAGAAACTGAAGTACAGTCATTCCTCATTATTCACAGATTCCATATTTGCCAAATCACATACTTGTTAAAATTTATTTGTAACTCCCAAAATCAGTAATTGTGGCACTTTCACAGTAGTTTGTGGGCATGTACAGAGCATGAAATCCAACAAGGCGAGCCTCTGCCTTCTGGTCTTAACCTCATATAACCTTGCCCAGAGCTTGGAGAAAGAAGGTCTAGTCTCACACAGGTCAAGGAGCTCTGGCTCTGGGGCCAGTTGCGGAGTTTGAATCCCTGTCAGTGGGGCAGCCTCAGTCCAGTAACTTAACATGTCTGAACTTGTCTTACAAAATGATGAAGATAGAGTCTGCCAGGATGAGTTCTTTTCAGGATTTAAGATTATCATGAATGTGAGATTGTATATATACATGTTTCCCCTAGGCGTAGTGGTTCAGTACTCAATAATTAAAAGTTCACAGTAACTAAATAGACCGTAACTACCACAAATAACGAGAATCAACTTTATTATGCAGTATTAAGATCTTTTTATTTTTTTACTCTTCTCTGTTCAGGTGACAATGTTAAGATCTTAATTATGTCTACTAATTTTAATATTATTAGCTTGACAAAAGCTTTTATAGCATTTGCTATGTGCTGGGCATTATTCTACATACTCTACAAATATTGTCATTTAATCCTCATAACAACCTTGCGGTGTAGGAACTTCTCCATCTTATAGGTGAGGGAGCTGAGGCCTGAAAGATGAAGTAGCTTGACTAGGCTCTCATAGGTGCTGAATGAAATGGAATGTGAACCTAGAGGAGGAGCTTCAGAACTGATGCTCTTAACTTCTTTGCCATATTTGAATAAATTACCACTTCGGAAATTAATGATTTATTCAAGGAAGTAGATTAAAATGGCAGCTCAAAACTTTCTGCTTTGACTCTAGTTCGCAGTTTTTTTTTATAGCACTTTTTTTCTTAATTATTAGTTCAAGTATTAATATTTTCATATAATTGGTGTCATTTATTGACCAGACCGTTATTGACCATTTATGGTGCCATGTTCTTTTGGCCAGAAACTGTGCTAGGGGCTTAACATACATTTTCTCATTTAAAGCTGGCTGTAATCCAGTGAGGTTGGCATTATTCTCTGTTAACCAGTGAAACAGCTGAGACTTAGACAAATTCAGTGACTTATCCAAGATCACATGGTTAGTAATCTGGGTTGAGATTTTTCTTTGCTTCCAAACTGGAGTTTGTACCCACTACTAAGCACTGGAGGAAGATAGAATGAGAAGGCATAGCCCTGCCCTCAAGTAAGCCACCGCTCAGTTCTACACTTTTGTATCTGTTTTATTCCCTAGAGTTGTAGTTTGAATTGCTGGGGTTTCCAGGCTTTGGTATGGTTTTAGTGTTTGCTTATTTTTTTAAGCCATGCTGTTTTTGCCTGGTATTTCCTTAATTCCTTTGCACTTGTCCTCGTGCACCCTGATGTTAAGAACTGGATCAAGTATGCCCGCTTTGAAGAAAAACATGCTTATTTTGCTCACGCACGGAAAGTGTATGAGAGAGCTGTGGAATTCTTTGGCGATGAACATATGGATGAGCACCTTTATGTCGCCTTTGCCAAGTTTGAAGAAAATCAGAAAGAGGTAAGTATGCTTAAAGAACTTAATTACACTGTAAAGCAGCTTAGCAAAGATTCCATTTTGTGCATGGTGGGTTCATTTTCATTTTTTCTTACATACACTTGGAGAAGATGTTTTCAAAATACAAAAATGCAACTACTCACAGAGAACTGCATATATATGTGATTAAACTACAGATTGGGAGCTGATTATAGATTGTATTATAACTGTCTTAATTTGGTTGTGCTTTGTTTGAAAATTAAGACTTTTAGTCTTAATTCCCTTTAAACTGAGAGCTAGTCATTTGGCATCCTACGTAAAGGACTTTACAGGTAATAAATATGGGAAACAAAAAGCATAAAGCCCCAGAACAGGAAACAAAATTTAGAATGGAAACAGAGACTGCCCTGCAAATAAGGCGAGGAGTTTGAGACCAGCCTGGGCAACATAGCAAGACTCTGTCTCAAAA